GGCCCTTTTCACGTGATCACTCGTCACGAAAAGACCTTCAAGGTTAATCGACATGGCCGCGCCGAGATCGTCAGCATTGATCGTCTCAAACCAGCACACGTCGATGACAGTGCCCTATCTGATAACCTGAGATTCAATGCTAGACCTAGCAAACCTAGCGGGATCCTTAAATCTTCTTCAGGTTCCACGCTAGATATATCTGAGACCTCATTCTCACGTCCCGGCCAACAGCACGCATCATCTGCACCGTCTACAGACGAGACGACAGTCTCACGTCCAGATCAGCAGGCCACGCCGCCTCTGACCTCGGATGAGATTGCAGGCTCACGAGATACGAACGAGACTACCGTCTCACGTTCCGGTCGCCGAGTACGGTTACCCGTACGCTTCCGCGACTAGCCGCACAGTCAACAACCGATACGGTGTAGGGTTATTCCTATACTACACGCATGCTACACACTTCTCTTTTTTGATTTTCTTTTTGTTTCCTGAGCCCACGCCTTCGACCATCTCCGTTTGGTTCCGTCGACTTCAGTCAACTTTGGCGAAAGCTGGATTGGCCACCCACGCTCTTGTCAACGTACTCAGTCGATATATTGGTTTCGAATGCTTGGCATACGCTTGGTCTCGAACTTGGTCGTTACGGTCGCTTCTGGTCTTTTGGCTCAACGTGGTTTCGTCCTTCGTCTGCAGCGTTTCTGGTTCGCATTCCCTACGAACGCAATCTTCAGATTCTGGATACAAACCACTCTGGTGTGGCATGCCAACTCAAGCAATAAATACAGCACATCGCTCCTGGTACCGTTCTCCGAAAACGACCTTCGTTGGCAACTCGACGATCAACGATCGCTTTCCTGTTCGCCAATTCCTCCGTCCTACAATCGCTCGTCAGCCGATCAGTCCCACGATTCAAACCGCTATTTATCGAAAGTGTAAACCCTTTCTAGCGGGGGGCTCCTGTAGTGACTTACGTTTATCACGAGAACACGACTGGTTTAATAAAAACAATTATTATTATAACCAACTGTACCAGTGTTTGTTTTAATGTCCTTTTGTTTGACTGTGCTAATTATAGCCATTTTGTGCTTCCATTACCTTCCTTCATTGTTCGGCGGTTTTTGGTACTGTTGGCACGTACTCCTGTCTTTTGCGTCCACTTCTATCATTCCTTGGCACGATCTCGGTATTCGTTCAATACCACGAGATCGCCAACGAAATAAATCTGGTTACGTTCGATCTTCGCCTTCTGATTTATCTGGCGCGTTTTTCTTGGTAGCGGTGTTCATAGTTAATCTCAACTCGACGCCACGCTACAAACTAATTACACAACTTTTTTAAGTCTGCTCGAGTAGGGGTTTGTATTTGTCAAACACTGAATATTTGTAGCATTTTATGGCATATACTTCTACTAATGTGCCGCTGATGATAGCCTCAGGCTCTCAATCAGAATTTAGAGTTCGGCTGAGAAGTTCCATCATTTCTGTTAAGTTGTTGAAATGTCTACCTACTTTTATGCAGGATAACTTAGCTATTCTAGATTGAAGCCTCGACGCAGTATCTCGAACGGCTTAACCTTGAGGCTTGTATGTGCGAATTCGAAGTGAGATCGACTACTTAAGGTAGAGACACGAAAACTATTCTATCATCTGATTGTCCGACAAGCACACGAGTGAGAGGAGACAAGTCAACTGCAACACTACATGATTTATTCTCAATTACAATCTGGTTCCCGATTTCAGAATAATATGGAACGATACATGAATAAATAGATAACTAACCAGACAAAAACAATTATGCCTAAAGCTGCGAATTAGAGTAGAAAATAGAGTACAAAAGACTACATTTAAATTAAAATAGCTTTGGAACAGAAAGAGCTGTGGAAGTAAATCATACATCAGACGAAAGCTTATGATGTGTAGAACAGACTAGGAACAAAAATAAATGTAACTGTGTTACAAGCTTTGATTTAAATGAAATAACGTCCCGAAAAATAGCTTCCATGGTTTTTCAAGGCTTCTTTTTTCTCTGTTCGTACGAATTTCATATTGGACAAACACATTTATTATAAAGTATTTTATTCATAACCAACATGAAGCTAGTTTTCAACAGAATGTGCGCGAGGTAGGTCAGAGATTAGTGAAGATTTTGTGGAACTATCTTTTTCAGATGTAATACTGCTTGTAATCTTCGAGAAAACAAAGACTCAGAATTTAATCGCATTAATGACGTTTAGAAGACCATTTTGGCAGCTTAGAAATAACTTCTCGATTAACTTCAAAAACTCAAGCAAAAAATATGAAAAACAGCGGCTGCTCGAGTATGAAAAGGACTTCAAATAGTTATAGAAAACCAACCCTAAAAACTTCAGAATAGCACTGAATTTCAGAACATGTATTGGTCGAAAAACAAGACTTTTGTCAGCAGTAAACCAACGTATATAAAAGTTTCACAAACCTGTTCGTGTTAGGGATCACAGCACCAGCGATATCCTAATCCTGAACTACAACAACTACTAAAAGAGTTGGTTGGTTGTCATTTTAAAACCTTCGTGTTACTTTCCCTCTGATCTCTCTTGATCTTCTAATGTTTTAATTTTTCGGATAGGTTTTCCCGTATGATTTAACACGTAAGGAGGTTGCGTGCTTTCGTCATTACTCTACATTTACTCTTACAATATGTCAATCCCTGCATATTACCTATTATTCTTTCCCGAGATTTCGAGAAAAGACTTCGCTGTATTGTTGGGAGTGCTGAAGAGAGCTATCAGGGTGTGCGGTGACTCTTTTGAGGTCATTACTAATACAATTGTGAATAGACATCTAAAGCCTTGCAAACTCCTGGCAGGTGGTATCTTATCAGGTATTAACCATCCACTTCATGCATATCTCTCTCCTTGTATGTCTTCTGGTAGAAACAGATGTCAATACATCAGAATCCATGCACCCAAGCAAAGGTATAAAAGTTCTATTACTCCTTACCTGGCAAATATAACATGCGACGAAAAGGTTGTTAGAGTCGACCTAATCAATAGCTTGTATTCTTGAGCACGTTTCTAATTTTCTAAAAATGTACAGATTCAAAAAAACATTTCATTTAATTCCAGGTAGTTTATCTACTTAACTTGTGTATATATGTATGCAGTTAGCAGTTTCCTTCATACTTTTGCTCATTCTCTTAAAGAAACTTGCTGAAATACCTTGTGAGGAGAAGTCGATATTGTATTGAGTATATAATGCTGAATAAAGCCAATGATAATAATAATAAAACAACCAATTCGCGATGAAAACTCTCAATCTAGTTCTTAATTCTAAGCATCAACTATACATCCTTATTCTAAATTCTCATGCTGCTTTATAGTCCTAGTTTCGCAGTAGTTAGTAGATGGACATTATCAGGGTTACTTAAGCGTCTCTCAAAGGTTGTCCATAAATTATAGTCTCGGCAAATTATAATATGCAGTAAGATGGAATTGTTGAATGAGAGGCAGACAGATGTGATAAAAGTTGCTAGTTATGAACAGTGATAACCGTGGTAATTTATAGAACATGTGTTAGACAAATCTGGTCAAAGGAACTTTTTTTATTCTTGTGTTTTTTGGTAATTTTTGGTGTTTGTATGAACTAACGCTTCCTTTGTACTTGTTGACTGCTTGGTTTTGAATTCCAAATATAATACATTTGTCCGTGCTCATCCAATACTTCTTAGTTACATTGCGTTATTTCTGAAATTCAAATACTCCTAATCGTCACATAATTGTTACTGAAATAAAAACCCCAGCTACCCTGGTATAAAATTATTGACTTAATCTGAGTTCGTGAATAACTGTATTAAGTAAACCAAATACGAGAATGGATTTTGAATACGTATATCTCATTTACCCAATGATTTGAGCAGGCAGTCAGAGGAACGAAGCAAAGAGTAAAGAGCGAACCGAAACGAAATGATGCGCAGTGGAGAAGGAGATCGAACCAACTCGACTTAATCGAGGGTGACCAGAAATAAGTTACTGGTAGGTAAATAATAAGATGAGCAATTAACATACGACAATATAAAAACCTGAAGAGTTAATAAGCGAATAATCAGCAAGGCCAAAATGTGGCTTGAGAAAAACGAATAAATTGGACTAGCCATAAGTCTAAATAAACCAGGCGGGCTTAACATAGTATCAACCACTGCAAAACCCCCTACAAAAATGCGACGAATAACGAAAATTAGAAACAAAATAAGTCAATGTTAACCGATCAGCAGATGGCAATCCATGGATGAATGTGTGTTTATGAAGTCTCCTCTCAAAGCTATCAACTGTTCAGGTGATTCGGTGTACTTAATATGTTGCATGCCATCACCAGATCACCTCTTATTCTCATATGGCTCAACGACAACAAATTCACGTGTTGTAGTGTGTTCTCCTAGGATCCATGTTTTAGACGTATCAGCCACCTGGTACACATTTCTGTACCTGGTCCAGGAGACTTATATTTCTTTCAAAGAGAGGGGAGCAATAATATTGCGGGTCTCGAGATGAGACCGTGTGTACGTTATAATCAGTGTCAAGAACAACTCTGGAGTGATTTCTTCAATTAGTCTACACATCTGGTTGAGAATTGCGTTTGTCGTGGCTGCATACCCTGTGTGGTTTCAGTTGTTTTCCAAGCTCTCCCTGGTTTGAAGCTCGTGATCACGCTCTGATGTGACAATCGGAAATGTATATTTGTGCAGGGATTAGTGGTGTGTGTCAAATGAGGCAGAATGTTTGTGACCGGACATTTCGACGGGTTAGGTTTTAACCCATTGCCGATTACCGATTACTTTTTATGAGGCTTCAGATCCTTGTGTTGTCTGCATAGATCAGTGCCACTGCGCTAATTCTATAAGACAGGTCGTAGAAGTGGACTAGATGAGTATGAAACGAAGCATCTGGTGTGATAGTTGCGAAAGATGAAGGAATGAACTCATGTTCTTTCGCTATTAAACCGTGCTCTGTATCTTTAAATGGATATATCAAGAAGCGCATAGAATGATTTTTCTATACAGATAACTTGAGGAAAGTTTTATCGATAGTTTTAAGATCTACTGCATTGATTGTTTTGTCGCTGTAACAGCTAATTGCAACGGATTTAGTGTTTAATTTTAATTTCCCGCTTCATCCGATCTCAGCTCGCTGTTTTCGTCAATATGATGGGGCGGGGTGGTATTTTGATTTGGTTTTTGGTTCTAACCGTCGCTATTCTGATCGCATCTTATATAAAACCGTTTGACCACAGTAAGTAAATCGGTGTCATGATGCGAACAATTCTTCGAACGGTTTTCTTGCAAAGTTTTCTAACTGCAACTAGCCGTTCTCGTGTTGCAGCTTCTGGTTTATGTGTCAAAAATAGCAGCGTTGTCTGTAAACGCTGTACTGGTTATTAAATTTTGAAAATTTATTTTGTAGTTTCTAGATGGTTCACGTCGGAAAAATTGGTGAACATAGATGTGAAAAGGCTGAAGGAGATGATGAAATCAAACGACCTTAAATTGATAGATGTCCGAGAACCAGACGAGTTGGAGGAAGCCGGGAAGATCCCTTTTGCTGTTAATATTCCACGTAAGTGCAATAAGATCTTCATTTTGTAGTCGGTGAAGTCGAGGATGCCTTCAAACTGGACGAGAAAAGCTTCTTAGAGAAGTACAAGATCCACAAACCGAATGTGGCGGACAAAAATGTAGTTTTCAGTTGTAGGAGTGGTGTCAGAAGTATGCGCGCTCTCAAAATCGTTCAGGATTTGGGTTATGAGAAGTAAGCCCTGGGTGCGGATGTATATGTATGAATAATTTTTAGTCCTCTCAATCTTGTTGGCGGATACAATGCATGGTCCAAAGAAAATGCAGAATAGGATGTTATTTGCTACAGTACTTCTGTTTACCAAATACCAAATATGTTACAATGTACAACAATAAGATCGTAATGTATATTTATTTACAGTGAAAACAGCTTGGAGTATTTTCAGGACGTTTTTTAGTTTGCAACATACCATTCTATTGTTTTTGTGAATATTTTGTTTTTAGTTTCTCACAAAAGAATTGTTTTTTCTGTATAATTTTGTATGTTGTTAAAAGTTGCTCTAAGGTAACAACATTTGACTTAGCTTTTGCACTGGGATGTGTCGTTATTTTTACAAAATTTCCTCAGAAACAATTGTAAATTTGGCATCCAAAGATTGGTTTTGTTTAATCTAATCTTTGAATAAATTTTAAAAAAGTTTTCAAGCTAACAGTCATATAATGCTTCTAAATATGTTGGTTTTACGGACTTGGTCATTTACAATGGACGAATTTCAGTGTCGCGATTAAGTTATTCCGCAATATTCCGATCTAACTTCTACGTATTCGTGTTCTTGGCTCTGATTAATGTTGTGTTCTATATACATATGCAGAACTTTGTGATAAGATCATTAGTTAAACTGAGTACAAGCACAAAATTGACCCTGATTTTCATTCTATAAATCTTGTCTGTAGAATGTTTCAAAGTCATTCCGAATGGGCCTTGGAAATATGTTTGCACTTATCAAAAGATGCATTAAGAACTTCTCAGGAATTCGTGTTTCCATTTAAATATCCCTCAGATATGAAAGTTATTGATTCTGAAAACTCATTTTAAATAATTTATCTATTGCTTATTTAATTTTCTCTCGTATAAGTCTATATGCATAGGTTTTGTTTTTGTTCAGTTAAGCATTACTAGTTAGGATTATTTAGGAGCTCAAATCGACATAAATTCACCAGAAATCACCATTAAAGTGGTATCGACTATTTATCATTGCAGCTAACTAACAGTGGTCTTGATCCTCATGTAATTAAGGCAAAGGATTGTCTGTAATTTAGTTATACAGTTTCTACCCACTTAAATAGAGTGAGCTCAGAAAGTGAGTGCGGAAGGATTAAAAACGTTTGAGGCTTGGTCGAGTGTAGATAACCTTGGTCATAATTATTTTTCCGGCCTATAAATAGAAATGTACTTGACAGTATTTCATTATAGCTATTTTATTTACTTGAAGTGGGCATACATATACTCCGGTTACGATATTGCTTAAAGTTTTTGAAGTTAAACGATGTTCCAAACTCGAAGCTCCTTATTTAAGTATGCTGATCACAGCTACTGCTGACGAACAAAAATTGCTTAGTTTTAATATAGGAATACTGGAAGTAAATGAATCTCACCTCCTACAACTTCATTCTGTCCAGACGCTTGCATTTCAACCTAAATGGTGCATTTACGTGTTTTTTCAGGTGTACTGTGCTGTTTCAGAACGCGAGTATCCAGGTCAGTACTAGTGAATAAATAAGTTGAGCGTTTGAACTAAGTTATACAGTTAGCTAAACTGGAACTGGTAACCGGTGAAGTCTCGGTATGTGTAGTAGGCCCCCCCGACCGGTGCTGCTACCATAACCTGCTGGTTGGGCCTGCCCGTTGTATTTAACCAATCAAACCATACTTGCTGGAACAGTCGTTCCTCAAGGTCTTACCATGCCAGACAGGTTGGTTGAAGAGCGGTAAGACTAAAAGCAGCAAACCGAATGTACGAGGTGAAGTCGTACTGCTGACTGTATAGAGGTGTGACGGCAGTAAGGTGTTTCCTTCAGAAAAGCGGCATAACAGCGATGCTGTCTTCCCACAAGGAAGGGTGGGGTTAGAAAAGGTCAACCCTAAAAATGAACACCTCGCCTTGTCCCACGGATTCCCGTCTCCGGCAGTAAGGCTCCGACAAGTACTGAGCTAAAACGGAAACTACTCACAAAAAGGTCGTGTGTGATTGGCCTCAAGCAGTTGTGCCTTGGGAACTGCGGTTACGTTTTCAGGTCGCTAAGGCCGCCCTTAAGCCAATTTCTTCCTCAGGTGCTTCTAGAGGAACCTTTCCACTGTGTGGGCAATCGGGAAGTGATTAATGCTTCCATACCTCTAACAGCACTCAAGATCACTTTATTCATAATTAATCCCCCTCTTCAATTGCTGTTATTCCTCCTACCTCAATTTTCAACTCTAAAATTCCTCTTTTGACTTCCTTTTCAAGTGTCACCACGGCCAACGATTCGAGTGAGCGGAAAATTGTCTCAGATCTACTTGAACATCGCTCCAAACTGTGAATCGGAGCCTTCAACGTACGCACTTTATGTCAAATTGACCAGTAGTCCTCCTTGACTAAAACCCTAGAATCTCGTACCATTGATGCATGCTGTGTCTCCGAAACACATACAGGATCCTAATTTAGTCATTCACTTGGCCTCATCTCACCAAAACTGTGGGCCGACGAGACACACCCTCCCTGCATCTGGCGACCCGATGGCTAGTTATCTTGGACTGGCAGGTGTGGGTATAGCAATAAGTACGAGGGCAGAACAAGGACTATTAGAATGAATCCCGGTTAACATTCGTCTATGTGCTGTTCGGCTAAACGGCTCAGTAAGAACTGGGAAGGATAGGGACACGTCATTGCCTTTTCGTCGTTCCTGCCTACGCTCCCACTGACTACAGCCCGGATGAAGTGAAAGATTTCTTCTACGGAAAGCTCTCTGAACGTCTTCAGAAAGCTAGCTGTTCAGACATAGTACTTTTAGCAGGTGACTAATGCGCAGATAGCTTCGACCAAACAGAAAAACATTTAGGTGGGCATTTTGGTTTTCTGGCTCAGCGAACAGATAATGGTGATTGTCTGCTGCAACTGTGTTCAGACAATCGTTTATTCTTAGCAAGCAACAATTTTAAGTGTAAGGAGAGACATCGTCTAACATGGTGACCCCCTGCACTAAACTAACGACGGACTCAAATAGACCATGTTGCCATCAGTCATCGTTGGAGAGGCTCGGTAGAAAACTGCTGCGTGTTTAAGAGTACATGTTTAGGTACTGATCATGCTTTAATACGAGCACGCATTCACTTGCGCCTGACTGGATGAGGAAAAACCACATTAAGAAGACCCATTAGAGTTTAACTCAGTGAAGAGAAAGCCAAAAGTATATTCCAGGAACAACTGAGGCTACACTTAGGCAGTTTTGAAAACGAGACTAACCCGGATGTTGCTTGGAATGATATATGAACAGCTGTGGAAACAGCGGTGACATCTATTAGTGATTCGAACCAAAAAGTCATGACAAACCAGTGGATTTCTGTTAAGTCTATTGCACTGATATATTCTCATAAACTCATTCCATCAGGCTCTGAACACGATAAAGAGCGAAAACAAATCAGATCTAGGTTAACCAAAAGTCTAAGAAACGACTGTGAGCAGTGGTGGGCAACGAAAGCAAAAGAAATGGAAAAGACAGCTGCTGTAAGTAACACCAGACAGCTTTTCAGACTAATAAAAGAAATTGGAATTAAGAAGTCAAGTGTAAGTGAAACGATCTCGGAAAACGACGACACTTATCTCAGCCCAAACGTTCAGTACGATTGGCGGAACACATTAAGGAGCAGTTCAGCTGGCCTTCAGATACTCTACAACTACCCACCATTACCAGACCGCTTGAATGGAACATTGAAATAGGTGCCCTGACTTTAGCTGAAGTTCAAAACGCCATAGCTAACCTGAAACGAGGAACAGCAGCTGGTCCAGATGGATTGGGTACAGAGGTGTTCAAGTATGATGGTTCAGTTTTAGCGATCAGGTTGACTAACATTTTAGCTAAAATCTGGGAGTTGGACGTAATCCTATCTGACTGGTCGCAATCACTGATTGTCACAATATATAAGAGAGGGTCAAAATCATCCTGTGACAACCATAGAGGGATTGGTTTAACTAATATAGTATCTAAAATACTATCCTCGATAATTATCGGACGCCTAACTAAGACTCGTGAACCGCAAACACGAGAGAATCGAACTGGCTTCAGACCTGGTCGTGGCTGCATCGACCACATATTCACCATTCGTCAAGTTCTTGAACATAGGCATACTTATCGCCGTCCAACAATGGTGGTCTTTCTTGACTTAAAAGCAGCATTTGACTCGGTAGACCGCGAGATTCTGTGGCAGTGTCTGCCATTAAAAGGCTTACTTCAGAAGTACATAGACCTTGTGGAGGCTCTCTACTCGAACACCACTAGTCGAGTCAGAGCTTATGGCGAACTGTCATCTGAGTTTGCAACCTCAAGTGGTGTCCGTCAAGGCTGTCCACGACCTCCATCTTTGTTCAACTTCATCGTAGACCTACTGCTGAAAATAACTTTCTCGCCGACTGGATTATCAGGAACTGATCTCCTACCAGGAAGTCCAATTATCGACTTTGAGTACGCAGATGACATTGTCCTGTTTGGTGAAGACGTTAATAAAATGCAGTCTTTTGGTAGTACTGAGCAACAATGCCAGGATGTTTGGGATGCGTTTCTTCTCATCTAAATGCCAATTGTTGCTTCAGCACTGGTCTGCTACAATACCTGGATTACTTTTCGCTTCAAAAGCCAATACTCTATTCTTTAAGCTAATCAGACTAGATATATGACAACTTGTCCAACTTGTATTATATTTATTACGCGTGAGGGTTTGGACTGTCCTGCGTCAACAACTGAACTAAGGACAGGGACTGAAGTGGCCGAACGCGTCGACAACTTCACTTGTCTTGGAAGTTTGATTAGTCCTAATGGGTTGGTGTCTGGTGAAATCCCTACATGGATTCAACTAACTCGTCTGGCTTTTTCCAAATTACCTCACCTATGGAGAGGGTGAGATATCCGTCTATCAATCGAGGGACGAGCCTACTGCATAGCAGTTCATTCTGTTTTACTTTACGGCTGTGAAACGTGGCCGTTAAGAGTAGAGGATACACATAGGTTACTAGTATCTGATCACAGATGTCTTAGAAATATTGTTCATATCTGCTGGGATCACCGGGTAAGTAATAGTGAGGTTAGACGCAGGGTATTAGGGAATGATGGTAAGTCAGTTGATAAGGTTGTGAATCTTCATCGACTGAGATGGTTGGGCCGCGTGTTGCGTATGCCTGAACATCGGTTTCCACGACTGGCAATGCTGACTAGTGTTGGGGATGGTTGGGAGACATCTATATGAGCGGCCAAACCAAAATGTGGCATCAGTGCTTGAAGTCACTAACTTCTGGTCTTAGCCATGTTGGTAGATGGAGACTACTTGTTTGGGGTCCGCGTGACTGTCGTGAGAATAAAATTGCTTTATACATTTCTTTCTACGAACTAATTCTCTCTCTGTGTACCATATCCTTATATACAATCTGTATTTGTATATATTACTAAGGCTGAAGTAACTGCTTCT